GTCTGCCCTTAACGCGCCGCCAGCGTTGTTCCGAAACACAAATGTGGAAGATGTCCTGAATGCCAGGAAACTGGAACGGGAGCTGCTGCGAGATGAGTTCCAGAAGAAAAAAGAGCAAGATAAACTCCAGCGAGAGAAGGATAAGCTAGCCAAGCAGGAGCGGAAGGAGAAGGAGAAGAAAAGGACACAAAAAGGCGAGCGGAAGCGATAGCTGGGGTTTTCCAGTTGGACTCTCAAGGGATAAAACAAATTACGAATATGGTGTGTGTTTAAAAAGCAGCAGAAATTCTGGGCACGTGGCTGGCGAGTGGGTCTTTCAAAGAGTTTCCTTTTTTTTTTTTTTTTGTTACATAGCAAAAAAGAAATTTCAAGCACCTCTTAAACTTGAAGTGTGCCATGTGCTTGTGGTGTCAAATGTCCCAGTCGGTTATTGTGGCCAATGTCTGTACCAAAGAACGGTGAAGTGATTATGTCCGTGTTTTAAATCGATGGATTTTTTACTTCTAACCACTTCAAGCAAAGCAAAACAAGATGGAGGAGAGGGCTTCCAAGCTGGCTGCGTCCTCCCGCCAGCCTTCGTTTGCAGCAACAGCGTGTTACGATTTGAGAACAGAGCAAAGCCCCTTTCTGGCCTGTAATTAAGGACGTGCTGCTGCAGGGCGAATGTGAATTTATTTACACTAGCCTTGAAAAATGTGTTTGCAAATACGTGTATTTATGCTGCCAAGAACAAGGCTCCGTCTTTGTTCTGGCTGAGCCACGAGAGCGGGGTTTGGAGCTGACCTCGGCGAGGGTAAGTGCTGTTCTGCAGAGCAAGAGAAAGGAAACGTTATGAAATATATATGAGTTGCAGCCATGAGACCGCATCACCCACGGGCTCTTGGTAAGGGAAACGCCGCGCTGATTCAAGCGTCAGCCAGAGCGGTAGCAAATGGGTCGAGTCCTCACGCTGTTTTAAGACTTTATGCCGGTAGCTGGAAAACGGTGCTCCCTGATGATTCGTGTGGGTGAACGTCGACTGTTATTTCTACGGCGGTTGCCAGGGTGAATGCTTTAAGGCAGGCTCAGCACTGAGCAGCTGTAAGCGAGTTGGATGCGCTGGGTTTACAAGCCGGTTGCTCTCACCGGGTGCAGCTGCAATGGGGAGCCGGCACGCTTCTCTCGCCCCCGAAGGGCTTGTTACCTGCTGTTTCCAGCTGTTTCCGTGAGGCTGTCACCCGCCTCTGGAGAGGAGAACACTAATTTCTGTAAACTGAGTGTGAAGGAGGACCCGCGGCAGTTTCGGCGGCACGGGAGGAACCGGCGTGCCTCACCCCTGCGCTGCTTCGTGCTCTGGCCGCCGTGCTGGCTGGCGAGGTGTGCTCCTGGCAGCAGGCGGCTCCTGAGCCGCTGACGGTACCTGTCCCCATTGCCTGCTTTCAGCGCTGCTCTGATTAAAGGGTCATGCCTCCTGTTTAGCTGCTGCAAGTGTGAGTATCTAACTGCTTTATCTTTGGACTTGAATAATAAAACTGGTTGGCCAAGAAGTGGGTTCCTCTCTGTCTGAGTGAATGTCGCGGTTAGCGATGGCGGTGGTGCGGTGTCCTGCGTCCTCAGTTTCCCCTTACCCAGCAGCTGCATTTCTGAGGGCTGACTCTTGCTGTCACATCATCATGCATTCGCACCTTGTTTCCCGAGGCCCTGGTGCCTCCCTTCACCTCCTCCCCGGGGCCTTGCAGGGCGGGGAACCCGCTGTGCCTGTCCCCTCTTCCCAGCCTGGGGCGCTGCGGTGGGTCCTGGCTGCAGCGTTGGGTTCGAGGGTGGTTCACGCGGCTGCCGGTGTGCGGGACTGCAGCGGGACGGGGAGTAGCTGTTGAGGGAGAAGGGTGTCACAGCAACACCACCACACAGGGGCTGCTCACACCCCAGCACCGTTCTGCTGCCAACCGGAGCCCTTCACGCACCCCCGGCCTTGAGGCTGGGTCAGGGCACTAAGCCGCACGGCCCTGGCCACGCGTGGGTTTCGGGAAGCTGCTGGTTCTCGGGGGTGATGTTACACTTCCACTCGTGCCTCGGTTGCTCTGGCAGCAGCAGGAGGTGGTAGGAGTTTTGTTTTTTGTTCCCACATTCCTACGCTGGGCACCAAGAGCGCTGCGACCTGGTACTGAACATACCCGTGGAAAGCAAGCCGAGGGCTGGATGCTGGCACACCAGAGGCTGTTGCAGCTCATTTCTTGAAACCTTTGGTTGTAAAGGTCCACAGAAAACAGCTGCGTTTGCTGACTCCCGACAGAAACTGAAACCCCACGGTTTCCAGCAGACATCCTGGGGCAGAGCAGAGAACCACAACCACCCTGCGGCCCCTCGCCGGGGCAGCTTCACCAGCAGTCGGTGCTGGAAGCCCAAGGCGTGCTCCAGCCTTGCGCAAACACGCAGACGGGCGAACCGACGGTGCCCCAAGGGTTCAGGCTGCCCCTTGGCCCTGAGCCCGTTGAGCACAGCCAGTGCTTCCCGGCCGGGGGGCTGTGGGGCAGCTCTGCCTTCGCTCCGCAATGATTTTTGCTATTGATTCGGTGCCCAGACCGGACGCTGCCCCGGGAGAGCTGAACGCTGGTGCTGGCCTAACATTCACGATATTCAGGAGTGCATTACTGGCATCAGCACTAGGAAATTTATAGAGTAGGATTAAATACTCCAGACAGGCTGCTAAGATTTGTAGTGCAGATACTGCAATGATTGCATAAGCTTCCTCTGACCGTACGGAGCTTGGAACAAACGAGATACTCGCAGGGAAAAAAAAAATCCACCGCTTCGGCTTCACTGCACCGATACAATTTTTCCCTTGGTTTGTCTACAGTTACAGTCATTTGTCTCTACAAAAGAGTAATTTCAGTATCACCATTGCTTTATACCTCTGGGCTGGATGCACTCCCCCTGTTTGAACTTCGGTCCAGGCAGATGCTCAGCAACAGGCCTGACCGAAGTGAACCCCGTTGCCTGAGGCTATCAGTGCGAACTCGGCACCAAGCCCCCCAAAAAATGGTTTGGCCGGAGACTGGCCTGGTAAGCGACCGAAACTGCGTAGACACAGCAGAAAATCTGACTACAAATCAACCCCTTTACGCTATGAAGACCTGCAGCCACCAGGACCCCGAGCTCTCCCTCCGCAGCAGCGGGCGGCGCGGCGGCGATCCCCCTTGCCCGAGGTCACCCGAGGTTGAGACCCCTTCCCTGACTCCAGGCTCGGTAAGGGATGTTTTTTGCATGTGTTTAACGCTTGAGGTACGTGTAGCAAGCTTACGCGACAATCTTTGTATCCTATGCTAACGTTAAGCGTAGTATTGACCGCCAATCCATCTGTACTTATGAAATATCTTCTGTACCTAAGTTTACTGATTAGAACTCAACGCACTAACTGCTAGATCAGATCTGCCCGAGGGATCTCCGATTCCTCTCCTGCAACAGCCTCTTAACACACTTCAGTCCCTAACTGAAAATTCCAGTCCCTGCGGATGGATCCAGCTCTAGGAGCTGAGGCCATGAAGACAAACGCCAAACAAACGCTCTTCAACACAAGTGAATTTATTTCTTACCAGACAGCCTAAAGTCAGTACAGCATTGCTTCTAACGTCAACGCGTCCTAGGTTAAACTTAACAAATCTCCGTGCAGTGCCTTGCGGTCTGAAGATGTGCTTTGCTCTCCTGCCCAGATAAGCTCGCTCTGGCAGTGCTTTTGGTCATTTCAGTGATCAAAACGGTTCCTCCGCTTTCTGCTGCATTCTCATTCAGTTTCTCACATCATCTAATGACAATTTATGTGGTGCGATCACACCTTTCGCATACCAGGATTTCCAGAAGTAGGAGGAACAGAGACATTTAAAATATCAGGGTATCTAGGCAAGGACAGCTGAATAAATTTAATCCACACATTATAAACGCGATGCTAGACGTGTTAAAACCCCGTATCTCCTGAGCCACATAATACCAACAATTCGTGTCGGTGAATAAGTTACTTATATTCCGTACAGATTAAGATATGCAGAGAAACGCCAAGTAGTAACAGCTGTCAAAAATGCAGAGGTAAACTAATAAGTCTAAAATATGACAACCAAATTTCAAACCAAACCAGTGAAAGAGTAACTTTAAGAAAACCTACATTTCAGAACTTTGTGATACCTCTTCAAATTTTAAAGTGAAGGTATTAAAAACAAGACTCATTATTTCAGCTGCTGCACAGCGTTTTAAAGGACAATCCTGTGTGCGTGTCATATTTTGATTACGTTTAAATACTTTAAAACAGAGGTTCTTTTTTTCCCAAGAGCATGCCCAAATGATTTGGACATATTTCCTAAATTGCATGGTTTCACAACAGCAATTTTGTCATACCAGTAATTTAGTAGAACCCGGTGCATCTCCTTTCACAAGCTTAGATTCTAAAATCTCAAATTCATAAATATTTATATTTTAAATATTTAATTTTACATGAATATTGGGTATTCTTAGCATTTTTTCCTCCTGTTTCCAGGTATTAGTTTGATAAGGAAACCATTTTTACATCACAATCTTATCTGATACTGACCGGACACCCCCTTAGACTACGGTCTTTAAGAATCATTATTTTAAAACCTATTTCCTAAAGCAAAACTAAAAGAAGTTATC